TGTAATGCAAAATATTCTGTATAACCGTGGTTCAAGATTGAAGATTATTTTCTTCTGTTTTGGTTATGAGAGAAACATGCAATCAAAAAAAAAAAAAAAGAAGTATTGCAGAATTTTGAAATTATGCTGAAGAGGAGGGTAAACTAGGAACAAATAGGACTTAATATTCACATTACAGCTTTTATTCGTTAAGTATGGCTAGTGACAGGACTTTGATTTCATATCCACATCGATCAGTTTGAAAGACTTCAAAACCACAGAGTCAAATGGCGCAAACTGAGCAGCTGATTTTTGGTTGGCAAGGTTATAGACAAAGTGCGACATAATGGTTGTTTCGTGATTCTCATCAGATAAGCGCTGGGCATGTCAAAACATAGTTAGTACAGGAAGCGCCATATACATGCGTAGATATTTGTTTGAAGCTTGTTCTTGATAGGGCAGTTGAGAATGCGCTGGGAGGCAAACAACTTACCTAAAAGTAATCTTGGAGCAGGGCGCCATTTTTTGCAGCTATAGTTGGACCTCTGCTTCTTACTCATGGCACTTTTATCAGCATGAAAACAAACAAACCTAGTGATTAAATTCCAATCTGGCGCAAGAGGAACCTTCAAAAACATACTTGGGGTGCTGAGGAACAGTGCAGGTGAAGGATAGAGCTAGAAAGACTATACCCATACTTTTAAAGGAGATGAACTAAAGTTAGAAGTTTTTCTATTAAGAAAGCGCTTAGCCTTCAATGCTATCATTTAAAAAAGCTCTATATTAAATTTCCTAGAAGAAGAAATTGCCTTTTTTGCGTTGTTCTCATGCGTTCAGGCAATTTACGCAGGCCAATCAATCAATTCCTAAAAATTCTATCCGCACATATTCGAATGAACATCATCAGCCCTCAAAAACTTCTCTTCTAATGGGACTAGGTAATAGCCCCCCTAGCTGAAAGTTTCGGTACACGTCTTTTTAGTTGCTATCTTTATTTACTTGGATTTCCTACTATCTCTGGGAATGTGTTATACATTCTTTAATTCATAATGGCTTTAGGATAAGGAAAGCAAACATGGAATTTTTTTTGAACAGTTAGTGCTTTTTCAGGTATACAAAGTAGGTTTTATGTGAACGGAAATG